CATAAGTTTCGATCGCGTATTATAATTGGCGATCGCGCCAATCTGCCGCAACTGCGCGATATATGTTGCGATTGCGCGTTATAACTGGCGATCATATTAAAAAGTGTGGTGTATTAATGAATGGCCCTAATGAGCCACGGTAGATTCGTGCCAAACTTCGCTCTACACATAAATAATATCGATTGAGAAGTCTTTTGGCTATTTATTTGTTTCGAAGACTTGTATATTTCATTAAAGAATATCTCGCCACTCCTTGATCCTTGACGAGTAGCTGTCAAATACTGCCATTTTTTGACGTCACGTGACCGGCCCGGACCAGGGCTTCCTCGTGTCTCGCCTCGTCCTCACACTGAAGCCCTGGGAACGAGGTTGGGCCCATATACGAGAGAATAGGCCTTTCAAGAAATCGCCGAAGAAAGGCTTTTTTTCTGATATCCATTTTGTTTTCGTTTACTGTCGCTGATACGCATGCGCTTTGCTCGCACATACAGAAATCGTCACTCCTGGCAAAAAATATTCAAAATATTGAATATTTGTGCCACGAGTTACAAAAAACTCTAAAAAGTTCACCGCAAACTAGAGCTTCCTGCGCAGAAAACACTAGTGTGTGCCGGGCATAAGTGAAACAAAAATTATGATTGAACAGCGGTTAATGCTTCGATGCTTTCTACGATTCAACTGCAATCAGGAACATAGCGAGCGGGTTGTAACACCCCCCCCCCCCTCCCCACCGCCCCAATAGTTGTTCATGAGTAATTTCTAGGTGATTCTTTCTGACTTTCAGGTTAATTACAACAGCATTGACTGGCGCAAATAACAAATTTTAGTTGCATTTCCGGCCTTGAGACCATAGCATACCTATAAAAGCCTGTCGAACGGAAGGGACTGATCGAACAAACGATAAACTCCTTACAATGGAAACGACATATATTTAGATTTACAATGGCAATTCCTAGAACAGATATTCCCCAGAATATCTGAATAATGCAGAATAGGGGTGGGGGAGTGGGGACAAAGTAGCACCTCCTGCCCTTTCGTATAAGGAAGCAATTAAATGCGGGCAAAAGTGCCGTTTTAATATAAGACAAAAATTTTTGATATCAAAATTCTTGGTCTAAAATTCTTGTTGTAAAATTCTTGATTCAAAATTCTTGGTATAAAATTCTTGATACCGCTAGTATAAAGTGTGCCCAGAAACTGCCAGAAATGCCAAGGAAGCACCCTCCAGTTCTACCATTACTTCTACGATATTAGAGATGTTATTATTGCATTTATTATTAGCATGACAAAATTACTGGATGCTGGTTGGTTGAGATGAGTACAATTATTTCATTAATTGTACTGCAGTACAATTAATGATTTTCCCAAAACAAACAAAATGGCGGAAAGGTATTTTAAACACAAGCGTGAAATGAAATTGCCCTAGAGGAACTAGATGAAAATACCTTTCC